GATACCTTACTACTTACTTACTACTTACTTACTGGAAACGACTGCCTGTAAAGAAGCCTCAATTTCCAGCGAATATTTGCTACAAATTCTGATTGCTTGTGGAGAATATATCTGACCTTGACTAACACCGAAAAGCACCATTACCGCTAAAGTGAGGCTCTGAGAATTTGAAATGATTAATTGCTCAACGTCTTTGTGAAGCTACCCCAGATCTTCGGTGGGAAGTGTTTTCTCAAAGTACCTAATTGCATGTAGAAGAATTGATATATCCTTACTCTCAGTAGACTTTTGCTGTATCGAAGACATCAAATAGTAAGCAATCCAACTTATTAATTAGCCGGACAACCACTAGTTAATGGAAATTTGGCTTCCATAAATTGTTTGACAGGAATTCAGCGAAGCCCCATATTTTAAATTAAATTTTTATTTATAAGGAAGGTCCACTGAGGGGTGCACTTAAGTTCAAAATCTACCAAATGAAACTCTTAGTATGATCGAAATCAGTAGCATTTTTTCGCTTATAATTTGCTTTTGGCAGTACTGAAATTGTATTGTTTATAACTCCAGCAAACTACGTTGCACTGAAGCTTGACAAATAGGATTAAATTTTTGCGTTAGGTCTTTAAAAGAGAAGTATAGAAATTCCCATATATTTTGTTAATTGGTCCAAGGAGCTGAGAAGCTTCCCTGTTTTAGGCTTTTTATTATAATAACAATGCAGTCTTTGATGCTACCAATTAAGCAATCTTTAATACGACTTGGTAACCAGTGACAAAATAAGTTTTTAATAAGGAAAATATAAATTTTTGTATAAAAATAGCATCTAATAAGGGCTCCAAGTAAGAGGGGAAGTACAACTTTAGAGGATAGATACTAACTATCTACTCCATGCTCTTTTCGGGATGGATCATCCTCAATGTTTGGTTGTTGGATGGCAGAACCTAGAATGCAAAAACCAGGAAAGTCGTGCTTCTTGTGACAGAGAAATTGCCATGCATGCACTAATTAGTAAAATTGTCTTTAAGAATTGCCTCTTGAATCAAGGCCTAGACAATTTAACTACTAGATCTGTTGCGAAAAGCGAGTTCAATCCGCAAGCTCAATATGATACTTAGCCATAATATAAATAGTTCGAAATAGATGTAGGCTTCTGCTAGTCTACAGAGTCGTTTGGACCTATAATAGGTTAAAACGAAAGATACAGCGTGATTTGATTTGATAAAGCCTTGTCGATCAGAAAAGCTTGTGTTCCTAGTGCATATAATTTCGTCTCAGGACACTCAGACCACCTTCCACAGTAGCATCATTCTCGAGTATTAATAGGCCGAGAAAGCTGGAATGGAAGAGCTATCCTTTTAGCTATGGACCCAACACCATATGACTTAAAAATCTTTTAATATTAATAAGCGTTTTAATGCGCTGATTTGAAATGAGTCTAGGAAGTTGGGATAATCGGCTAAGAGAAAATGAGAATATGGCTGTTGTAGGCTTAAGCATAATTTTATTTTTTCCGAAAAAGAATAGTGTATTTACATCAGACGGCTCCACCGGCACCAGCGGGAAAGCAGTCTTGCCGACAAAAGGCCCGTATTTCAACCCCAGCGGATTAATAGCATGTAAAAATAAAAATTTCTTAATAAAATCGAAACAATAAGCCGTGAATGAGTATGATCGAGGCAAAAAGGTAACAAAGTTTGAATTTTAGTCCACAAGCGGCACAGACAAAGTTGTAGCGTATATCTGGTCCATCTGAAAAAGAATAAGCGAATAATTAAAATGTAGATATTCTGGTGGCAACGGCAAAGTAATAATATTGGCATATCCTCTAAGAACGAACAGTACCAGTTTTCTTCAGTGAAAAGATATTAATGACAGGATATAAACGGCAGGTTTGGCAAACTTATGCAAAGAGAGACCAGTTGGTTGGGCTCAGGTTCACATTTTTATACTTCATTTTATAAGCCAGTATATGTGTAACCTATAACTGATTGCTTCGAAGTATACTCATTTGGATAATAAGTAGCATTATCGATTGTGGTGGAAAATAAATTTTTGTCTAAACGTCGAACCTATTATTAGTGTGATGTATCAGAAACCCAGCTAACCATCTGGCCCAAAAAATCAACAGAAAAGCCTCCGCGCCCTACTAAGTGCCGTCAACAAAATAAATCATATTACTACTATTATAGTTGACTTTAGAAATAATTTGTCTTCTTCTTAGGAGTAATGCACAATAGCCTACCCCAAGAGGCACCGGGTTTGCAGAGTGCCTTGGGAATTATCTGAAACTGGACAACGGGGGAGCTCATCCTGCCTACGCCACCGCGACTGTAGGCGAACACACGAACGTTGTACCGCGTGTCTGAGCTCAAGCCACCGATGTATCCAAACGTGCTGAGCCCCACGTCCACATCAACCAGGGTGTACTTGAAGTCTGCTCCGGCCGGCCAATGACGTATCTTGTAGCCCTCGATCGACTCCTCGGTCGCTCTGGCCTGGATGCCCACCCAACTAACCAGGATGGTGTTTGGCCTATCGGTGGCATTCAGCTTGACTAAAGTGGGAAAGTCCTCGGGTGCCGATTTGAAAGTGGTCTGCTCCGTGAAGCTGGACTCCAGACCATCGCCGGCGGTGTTGAAAACCTATGAGATGGTAAAAAGAGATCTTAAACACTACTAAGTATTTTATACAATTGAAATAAACGACCTCGAAATTCCAGATTATTTAATCACGACTAACTAAGAATATTTATTTTATTTTTAGCTAATTTAAGTAAGTTTAATTAAAAATGGATGTTTATTTTTATTTAATTAAATTAATAATTCGCCTGCGAGAGACTAGGACAAGGAGTGACAGAGGCTCCTAGATGGTTGAGTAAACACAATATCTTTCATCGTACCACTAATTAACGAGTTTGTAAGTAGTATAATCAGGTGAATTAAAGCTCTTAGGATCGTAACCAACTTGTGCTGAAAAGGGGCAGTTTCATAATCCTTCTCCAGACGGAGGTAAAATAGTTGAGTTGACTATTTTGGGCCGAGATCCTAGCTTGATAATTTGGCCGTTATCATTCCAGAATACTGAGGTACTGTTTAGAGGTTGTTTGACCTTGTTTTCGCAACATGGTCATATTGGTAGGAAGACTTAGAGGAACGC